GGCTTCCTGTCATGCTAAGCTAAAAGATTTTCAGCACCTATTTTGTGTGTGTGTGTGTGGAGTGAGATGTACACTTACATACAACAGTAATTGTAGTATTAGCTGTTTTCCTATAAGAAACATTTGACATTTATTAGCCAAGTAGCCAATACTATTTTTGGTTGAAATTTATAAAATCTTTCTATTGAAACAATTTTTCAGGAAAATAGGCTTCTCAAGTATAGTAACTTTTATCACTTATTCCAGTAATGAAGGGGTTTCTTTTATTTAATGTAGTGCGGAGTATCAACATCTTATGTCATTATTTTCTCTTTGAGTTACATGTGATATCTATTTTATCTGTTGTTTAAAGTCCTTATATGCTGTGGCTTTATTTGTTACACTTCTTTGTGATTCTATAGCGTCAGTTCATAATGTTCAAAGAATTGGGGTCTTTATCCCCTCAAAGCCATTTTCAACCATTGATCTTAGAAAGCAGTTGTATACAGCTGACAGTTTAGATATTTCCGAATGGGTTTGGTACAATGTATGACATTGAAATTCTTGATCAGAGGAGACTATTTAAGAATATGACTTAGTAGCAAAGATTTATGTCTTTCAAAATTTCTAATCTTTTTTTGTGAATCTAGTTATTGTAATTTTAGTATAATTATGAATTTATGTTTGATAAGCAAAGTATTTAACATTAAGGCTTTCCCTAGAGATATACTTGAAAATTCTCAGCAGATGCTCTAACCATTTGGTGTGGTAGTGGAGTCAAGTGGGCAGAGTAGTAATTGAATGGCTAAATGCCTGATTGATTCTTTCAAGCTATAGATTATTTAAGCTTTAACAATCTGCATTATTCACAAGTATTGATTCTACTCCTCCTCTTCCATTGCCCCTCAAATGCAATGTCCTCATTGTTGATTTCAGTCAAGATTGTTTTATAGCAGGATATGACAACATGACTGTAAAATTCAAACACAAATTTTCCTTTATTCAAAATTGTTTTTTATGAAGTTTCAACTGATACAAGGCCCAAGAGTTACTGAATGAAGTAATAGAAATATGAAAGGAGGAAGTAGCGAGTAAAGATTACAAGGACATGATAGACAGATAATGATAGACCCTAGACTTGAATAAGTTAATTGTAGTGTTCTGGGAACCATTCACATGGGAGTCTGTTCAATATAGAAAGAAGCTTTCAGAGTGGAATGCCCTTCTTACTAAAGGAATACATGGAGAATGAGGCTGATTCAAGCCCGTGAATGTAGTAAGGTGGATTTTGGTTGTAAAGATCTGAGCTGGTGACACTAAAGAATGGAGGTCATTGGTACATTTAACATGGAAGTAGTGAGATAGTTGTGATGGACTCATGATGTTGTATATATGGGAAAATAAGTCATCAACTACAAGGCCATGTAAATATTATTTTTAACTTTATTATAGCTGGAAAGTGAGGATTGGGAAGCACCAACCCTGGATATGCTAGCAATATTCTATTTTTTGGTTTGGTCTAACTCTTGTAAATACAAAGCATGGCAAGAGGAATCTGGTACTTTCTGTAGCAGCACAAGGAGCCAATCATTTTTCCAACATCTTTAATGATGGATTGTATATCTGAATTCCACTTGAAGTCTGGAGTAAACTGAGGCCCAGTAACAAGGGATAAAAGTGTTTTCTTCTCTCAAACAGGGAACCCATTTTATGTGGCTACCTCCAACTGTATGGAAGGATGGCAATGTTTTAACATCTCCTTTCTGCCTGTTCCACTGACAATCGTCATTGATGACCATAGCTAACTGGCTATTTTTAAAAAACATTTTTTAATCATTTCACCCCAAGCAAGATGAGAATGCCAGTAGTATGCAGGAGGTTACAGAGTGATGGTGAGAGAAAAAATTGGGTATAGGGGGTACCGAGGAAAGGATAAAAGCTGAATGGTGTTCAAGAAGATGGCGAATGACTTTGCATTTAAATTTTTGAAGATCATAGTTGTCAGGGAAGCAAGGAAATGGAAGGGAGTTCCACAGGCGGGAAGTACGAGAAAAAAATGTTGGAGTAGAAGTGGCAGTTATATTTACTTAATTCAACAGTAAAAGGGTGAGACCTAGATGCCAATCTAGTAGCATACTTAAACTCACATAGTCCAGGCACCAGGGGAAAAAAGCTTGTCAGGGCAGTAGCCAATATTTGTAGAAAAGACAGAGGGAAGCCATGTCACAATGGGGAGAAAGTGACTGTAGTTGATATGCCAAGTCAGGACCAATAATATTTTTAAATAGCTTTGTTAGATTAAGAGTTTCATATTGATGTCATGCTTTGTGCCAAACCCATTCAAAAGTATCTAAACTGTTAGCTGTATCAGATCAGTGATTAGAAATGGCTTTGTGTGAGTGAAGCCTATGGGTCTTCGCAAAGATCACAATTCTTTGAACATTGTGTCTAATGTTGTAGAATCACAAATAACTGTACCAAATAACAAAACCACATCACTTGAAGACTCTCAACAACAGCTAAAGTGAATATCACATGTAATTTGAAGAGAAAATAATGACATTATCAAGATGGTGACAATCTACACTACTTCAAACAAAAGGTTAGGAAGGAAATCCCCTATCAGTACTGGAAAGAGTGATAATAGCTACTGGACTTGAGAAACCTGTTTTGATGAAAAAAAATTGTTTTAAGAGAAAGATTTTATAAATTTCTACTGATAGTCGTACAAGCTGTTCAGTATGTATGTGAAATCTTTCCTTATAAGGAAACGGCTGATATTACCATTACATATCACATTTCTTTCATTTATTTTTCTGTATATTGTTACATAAAGTGGAATCTGTGAGCTCATTTTAAATTAATTTGCTGTCTTCACTTTCATGTTAATGCCCTTGGAAAAGGCATGAATCCATCACTTTTCCTTTGAGCAATGGGTTAAATAGCAGGTTAGACAGGCCTTAAATGGTAGCCAGTCCAGAAAAAAGACAACTCTGAATTCAAAACTGTGGAGAATGGAATGGAAACCACTGCATTTCCTAAAATGTTATGGCAATTCACAAATAATAAAGAAAAGGAATCTGTGGAGAGCTGTGATCACCTACATTCTGAAGAGACCTGATATTTAAAAAAAATGAGTTTTTAAAATAAAATAAGGGTGTTCCTTTTACTTTCATACTAATGCTCTTGAGAAATGCATTAATACATTTATTCTCTACCAAGTTATGGATTAGGTAATAGGGTAGACTTGACTCTATAGCCTTGGATGACAACCAGTCTAAAAGGAGAACAACTTTGAATTTAAAACTGTAGCAAAGACTATTGGAAACCACTCCAGTATTTTTCATGGCGATTCACAAATAATAAAGAGAAGCAACCTGTGTAGTGCTAGTGATTGGTTTGTTATTTTATAACTTACTAAAACCCTTGTTGGTTACTTAAAACCAAAACATATTTCAGATTCTTATAATACCTGGTGGTACCCCCATCTAAGTACTGACTGGACTCAACATTGATTAACTGCAGTGATTGAACAAGAGCTGGTATTTTCAGTGTAAGCTGCTAGGATTATCTATGTCTTGTTATAGCAGGATATGACAACTCAACTTTAAAATTTAAATATACTCTTATTTAGTGATTGAAGTCAACTGCAATGGTAGAACAAATGCTTTCCTTGATGAATGAAGTTGCCTAAAGAGTGTTTAAGGTTAAAAAAGAATAATCTCTTTCTTTGTTAATGCACAATTCATTAATGAATAATAATCAGAAGCATTATACAGTGAAAATTTCAGACCAAAATTTGGCTAATAAATATGTGTCAGCCTAAAGATTTATTGATGCACTGTCATGTGAATGCTTTTATGCTTAAACCTGTCACTTTTTAATCATTTCACTCAAGGCAATTCGGGAATGCCACTATTGCATGGGGGAGGGGTGGTACAGGGAGTGAAAGTGAGAGTAAAGACTGAGTATAGCAGGGAATGAGGAAAGGACATGAGACTGGGATTCAAGAAAATAGAAGATGGTGATTGATGTTGCATTTAAATTTTTGAAGATTGTTGTTATCAGGGAAGCAAATAAACGGAAGGGAGTTCCACAGGCAGGAAGTGTGAGAAAAGAAGCTGTTGGAATTGAAGGGACGGTTGCATTAAGCTATTTCAACAGTAAATAGGTGGGACCAAGATGCTAATCTAGTAGCATGCTTAAATTCATGTAGTCAGGGCACCAGGGAAAAAAGCTCATCAGAGCAGTTGCCATGAAAATATTTGTAGAAAAGACAGAGGGAAGCCATGTTATGATGGGGAGAAGTGATTGAAGTCGAGATGATAAGTCAGGATCGATCACATTACAAACTTCATGTAAATATCTTTGATTACATTTCTTTTTTTTTTCAACTGATTCAAGATTTCTTGAAATTCTTCATTCTTGAGGGTTAGAATATTTTCCAAGTCTTAATTTAAAAAAAAAAAAAAAAATATTTATTGATTTTTCTTGAATAATAAAAACAAATAAAACAACAAACAAACTCTTCATAAAGTTAAGACACCAACGAGAAATGACAGAAAGAAAACATGAATTTTTATTGATCTTCATTCCCTATTAAATATTGATTCTGTCAGTCTGCTGTCAAGTTTTCTTTGGTATCATTGCCTAACTGTCTGCTTTTAGATAGTTCATCAAACCAGTGTTTTATTCAGTTTCAGGTTTCTAGCATTTACTTTTTTTATTTTTTGTTACTAATGAACTTTAAACATTATTTATTTATAAATATAACAAATAAAGTGACTTAGAAATTTTGGGACCTGTCAGTTTATATTTTTTTTTTTATCAAGAATTTTCATAACACGTCACAAAAAACATTTTCCTTGACATTTTATTTATTAGTTGCTGACAAAAAAAAATTTCCAGTGCTCTTTTTTGAAAGATAGAGATTTCTGTCTGAATTTTTGGGAACCTGATTAGAATAGGCTCTTCAGTTTTAAATTCTGAGCTGTTATCTTTTACACTCCCACAGATTCAAGCTTACAACACCTGGTATTCCCAAGTGGTCACCCATCTCAGTAGTGACCAGGTTCAATGATGCTTAACTTTGGTGATCATACAAGAACCAGTTCTTCAACATGATATGGCTGTAAGCTGCTCAGTGGTAGTGGTGGTGAGATGTTACTAGTTTGGTTTTGGTTGTATTGAATTTTACAAGCCAGTCCGCCCACCATTGAGCCACTAGAGCTGGGTCAAAGAAAAGATGAACTGCGAGGCTCATCCAGATTTTTGGAAGTGAACTCCCATACTGCACCTCAGGAGACTGTCTTTTGTGGACAGCAACATAATCACTTCAGCCACACATACCTACATTTTAGTGCTGATTACACATGTATGTTTTTTTTTTCCTGCTTATTGCCTTTACCTTTTGTCCACCATTCTGTCTGTTCTTACCATCAATGTTATGTCATAATGTAATGTTGACATCAACAGATTGGAATCCAGTGCAATGGACGGGAATCTCTGGAGATTCATTGTCAGAGATGGAACAACAATCTTTGACTATATTTCTGAGATGAGGTATTATGTACATTATTTACATTATTCGGACTATTGTCCTCATCTTTGTCACCATATTTATCACAACATATGCTAGGCCACAGAAATCTCCTGAGCCGACCAAGCATAGAAATAAATACAATATGGGAACCAGTACTAAGGAGTGCCAGAGAAAAGCAATGATAACAACAAAATTGCAATATGAGCACTGGTAAAAATGATTGCTGAGGACATTAGGTTTATAATACCCAGAAATTCATACCCAGATGTCCTCAATGGCACAGTGGATAAAGGCGTTGGTTAGATCCAGTGACAGGACCCAAAGAGTGTGAGTTCAATACCCGGTTAAGGCAGTGGAGAATTTAGATAACTGGAGCAGGAGATAACTGATAACTGACATCCATCAAACATGGCACGTGGAACTAGAACAGTCTACCCCAGTGAGCGAAATAAAGGGTTCAGTTCGAAATTCCAACCACCTGAAGAAGGCTGAAACATTGTGATAACTATGAGGACAATAGTCCAAATAATGTAAATAATGAACAGCCGAACAAGAGGGGGGAAAAAAAAAAAAAGACATCAAAAAGAAAGATAACAACCAAGGCCAAATCCACCATCCAGAACAACCTGTTCTCCATGTTGAAGGATCTTTCAAGTGAAAATCAGTCTTGGAGTCCACAAACCCAAGCAAAACGAGACCATCATCCTTGACCTCAGGGAGAGCCATGAACCGCAATGACAATCATTATTTACTACATTAATATATGAAATATATTTGTTTTAGCAAATTTCACCAAATTGTGCAATGAAAATAAAAAAAAAATAAAGTGAATTTCAGTAATCAGGAAGTAATGCAAACTTGATAGAATTGGGTCATTTCTTTTTTAATTTCTTTTTTTTTTGCATTTGCTTTCATCACAACCAATTCCTGAAAAAAATAAAGAAATATTCCTTGAACAGCTGAACATATAAAGAATGATCGATCAACTAAGATAATCTGTGAATTTGCTTAATCTGATTACCATTAATAAAAACATTTTTTATGATTAAGAGACAGACAAGCGAAAAATCAAATTGGACACTGCCCACTTGACTATATGATCAGTAGGTTTTTACACTACTTACATTGTTCGGACTGTTATACTCATCTTTGATATCTTTGATATATTTACAATGTTTCAGCCGTTGTATACTATGGCCTTCTTCTGGGGTAGATTGGTCTAGCTCCATGTGCCATACTGTTTCTGGATATCTCACTTCCATTTATTTCACTTTTAGTAACTCAACACTAAGTTCTTTTTTTCACCTCTGTTGTGGCCAGGTATTGAACTCACAGCTATTAGTGTCAAGTCACTGGATTACTTTAGCCAACACTTCTATCCACTGGGCCTTGTTAACAAAACTTAGAAAGTTGGGTAACTAAAGGAAAATAACTGAAACTGAGATATCTGGAAAAGGTGTGGAAAAAAACACATTCTGCTCCCATGGACTAAATAAAGGGTTTGGTTTGAAATTCCAATGTATATCACCTGAAAAAGGTCGGAGTGTACAATGGCCAAAACATTGTGGATATGGCAATAAAGATGAGGACAACAGTCCAAACAATGTAAATAGTGTAAATAGTTATAATACCTCATCTCAGAAATAGAAATAGAAATGGTAAGTTCTTAAAAGGGGGACATAGTTTAATTTCTGAATACTGCCAGTATATGTGACCATGTTTATAGTTGTTGTTAAGGGTTGTTTTTGTTTTTTTATAAGGGCTTTGGTTATTTTTAAATGTCTTTTGCAGTTATAAGTGCATATCACTTTTGTTTACTTGTCGAGTATGTTGTATATCAAGGTTGGTAGGTTTATGAATATCTGGTCTGATAGTTATAAGGTTAGCTGTGTTAGTGAGTGGTGTTAGGTTCAACATAACTGCTTTTAAATTTGTTTTCAATGAGGCATTTGAATTCATAAATAATGTTGGTCTTGTGTAGTTTTGATTTCACTGGGGAATTGTTGTTGCTGATAAGGTTGACTGTTTTGAATTTTTTGTAATAAATAATTAATTTGGTATTTTTAATTTGTTTAACTGGAGTAATACATTTTTTTTTATAATATTCCTTATAACAAATTCATCTTGTTTATAATTTCTATGCATCTGGTTTTGATAAAATATATTAATGTTATTGCTAATATATATTAAAGAGAGATTACTGCCCAAATACGCTGCTTATATATAAATATATACATATGTGTGTGTGTATGATATAAAAAACATATACAGGCACAAAAAAATGTTATGTAAATATAAATATATTTCTTCCACAAGTGTTATAAATTCCGTGGTCAATGTTATGAGACAGAGCTATAAGTATATATTAGTGAATATAACATAATATCCAATGTTGATAGCATAACTTGGAGTTTCACGCAACTGCATGGAACTCCGAGTCATGCTATTGACATTGAATATTATGTATAACCACTAAAATATTTAAACATTTTTTTTTTTTAATTTTTATTTTTAGTGGATGCTCATATTTGAGTAGAAACACCATTTATTGAACAGTATCTTTATATCATTTTCTCTACCTGCCTGAATATTTGAGAAATCTTATTAAAGAAAAATATATGCTTTCTGGTAAGATTTGAGTCTGTGCGTCTCTCTAGGCAGAGTGAAACTGTCATGGAGCATCTACTCAAATATGAGTATCCACTAAAAAATAATGTTTAAAGTGATAAAAATTTGTTAGATTGATAAATAAAATCCATTACCTTAAATATATTATTCACTAAAATTTCAGACCAACCCTGATGGTTGTAAGCCTTTTTCAAAATGAATTTAATGGCTCATTTTGAGCTTGGAGTACTTTCTCTTCCTGAATAATTTTATCAAATATTCAATAACAATAATAATGAAATTAACTCATTACTTCATAGAGTTTCTTTAAAATATTAGCTCTTTTTCCCTAATCTACTTTTGCTGGCTTATGGTAATCCGGTGGTAGGGGGATTTTAAATCGGCAGTCCCTTTCCACACTGTTCGGTGGAAACTGTTGTAATTTTAAAAAGATTACAATTTAAATATTTTAAAACATTGCTGTCATAGACATTTTAAAACAATGTTGCAATACTCATTATTAATCATATTTAGTGTTAGTAGTATTTTTCTTATATAGAGGGCTTCAAGAATTCAAAGTTTTTGTTTATTTTCATGGTGGAGTATACTTGTATTGCCAATTAATATTTCTCTAAATTGCAAATGTGGACAGGAATGTTCCTTTTAATGTTGGGCTATGGAACTTGAATCTGACATGTGTAATATAAGCCTCCTTGATAATGTTTCGTCATGAAACCAACATATATATTTACTTTTTTGTCAGAGATACAATCTCCAAAAGGACATTTAAATTGATATATGATGTTGGTCTTTTGCAAGACGCTAGTTGACAGAGAAAAGTTATTGTGGATGATTAAGTTAGTTGTATTAAATTTAATATAGTATAAAATTAGTTTGATTTTTTTAATGGGTCAGTGGGGGATATATTAATATTTATGAGTTTCTTTAGAATTTTTTAATCTTGTTTGTAGTCAGTGTATGGTATAATAGTTTGATATGTTTATGCTTATTTGAGAAAGTATTATGTTCTTTTTGATTTATGTTAATATTTCTAATAGCCCGTCTAATTTGTTCATCAACAATGTAATTAGGAAAGTCATTATTAATGATAGTCTATTTAATGTTTTCTAATTCATTGTAGAAAATTTTTTTTCATAGAAGAGTTACCTTTTGTATGTGTTGTAACCCAAAATATTAGTAGCAACAAAATATAACAAAACACAGTCAAATATATTTTAAAACACAATAATATTTGTTTTTATTCTCACCAACCAGCATACAGCAGGATTGGGTTGAATAAACAATTCACTGTCTACAGGTGGTGTATTGTCCAGCAGCCATATTGTCTGATAATACCCTTTTTCCATGAAGAGTCAATGATTTGTTAGGGAAGAGTTGTCTCCCCTGACAGTATGATTTATTAAATTTTGTATAATTGCTGTTTTGTAATAGGACATTCACTTAATAGTTGAAAGTGCACGTATTTATGCTAATTAGTTTTTTTATGAGAGGGGGTAGGAAATGTATTATTATTGGTGTCTATCAATATATTAAGAAAAGGAATTTTATTGTTATTGTTAAGTCCATATGTTAATTTAAGAATAGAGTTCTTTTGGAAGTTTTTTTTGTAGTTCATGTATTTCATCTATGCTTTTCACTCAGATGAGAGTATTATCTATGTATCTTAGGTAGAGGGAGGTTTCTTTTTTTTTATAGCGGTATTAAATATCTTATTTTTAAGATTAACCATGTAGAAGTTAATAAATGTTGGTTGCAGAACTGAATCCACGGAAACTCCATCAAATTGTTTGTATATATTATTTTGATGGTCATAGAAAGGAATCTCAGTGGTACAAATCGAAAGTAGTTGCCGTAATATAATATATTAGGTTTAATTTTTAATGGCGGGAGAGATGGATTGTTGTAACTATTCATTTCTCTAACTAGGACATTGGTGAATAAACTTTCAACATCATATATATGATT